AACTTTTATTGACTTAAATTGAATAAATGACTCACAATTATTTTTAAAATGACGATTTTTGAGGAGGGTTTCTCTGGCGTGCTCTTCCCCCTCGTTAGTTCCAGGATGAGAACGGTACGATTTACTTTAATAATAAAGTAGACGTTTCACATATTTTTCGGTTCTTCTACATATCACAACCTCCCTTAAATTTCCCTAATATTTGCTATGTCGGGCGTATGTCCCGTAAGTAAAATTGAGTAAGATTCCACAACGTAGGTCCTATTTGTTTTTCATTTCGTTTTTCAGAAGATTTGTTGTTTTAAGAGGTAATAAAAATTCACACCGTTCAATCTTGCTGAACGAACCCGGGTATGTTATACCACAGAGCCTTACCGTACGTGTGATATACAACATTTTTTTCTTCGACCTGCACAATAAGTGACTAATGGCGTTTGTCTGTTATAAATAACTATTGTGTACTCGATTGTGTAGTTATATAAAAAATGATGATCTCTTACCGCACTATTGCGATAATGAACGCGTTATGATTCATTATCGCACTAATGCGGTAATAGGGCTCATTAAATAATGCAAATGAGGAAAAATTAGTGACATAAAAGTCACTTATTGTGCAGGTCGTAGATAAATAACTATTATCTACGTTAAAGGGTTTCTTTGATCTCAGGAACATCAACTGCCTAGAAGAAGGAATTTGAGACATTCTTCTCTGTCAATTGCTCCGATTTTTCAGGATTTTTTCCTTTGGACTGAAGGAAGTTATCTATTTCTGCTTGAAGCATCCTTGGAGCCCTATTGAGATAATATTCTTGCTCCTTCTAGCTCAGTTCAGTGCATCGAACGCATATTTACAGATGCTAGCGTGTGTTCACACCAAGGCGTTGAGATCTGTGAAGTTTTGGAGAAACATTTACAAATACTAACAGATTTGGATACTAAAGTGTTTAAACCAGTGAGCTTTGGTTGTTGGTATATATTTACAAATGCTTAACGCCTAGTACGTCTAGTCCTCGTGAGTTACCATCTTACTTTTTTTTTAAAGTTAATTTAGTTGTGTAGCGTCCCTTGAGCAGGCTTTGCTTTTGAATGAGATGCTAACCTACGAGGACTAGTTCGCACTAGGCGGACAGGTTAGTTTGGGTAAGTCCTCATTTTCTTGATTGGCTATCAATATATAAACAAAATAAATTTGTTTCAATAAACGAAAGCTCAACTATCAAACGTTGATATTGAACTATCAAACTTGCAACGTCTGTCAGCATTATCTGTGAATGTATACTTTCCACAAAAGGAGTCAACACTCTGGTGTTCAAATCTGTTAGCATATGGGAATGTACTGTATTTCCAAAATCACACTCTAGTATCAACACTAGCACTGCATCTGCATATACGCACCGCATTGCAAAGTTACTTCTGCTTTCAGAGGTCCACATATACAATTTTATGGACAGCTCGTAATCGTTAGATGTAAATGTGAATGGACTTCTGAGAGAGGAAATATTTCTTTCTCTTTTATCATCTACTGGACAGCTAGAAGTTTGAAGTTGAATGGGTCTCAAAACAGCCAGATCTCGATATAGAAAAATTTGGAGAAATTTTCACTACCTACCTAATTGTTTTTTTTTATACATAATAATACTGGCATCGTACTGCTGATGTATATGGTGAAATTTTTTGCAAAAGGTACCTAAATAAAATATCCACTAGGTACTTATTAAATATTGCACAAAAGTTCTAGTGATGCCGCGATATGAGACGAGAAAAAGCTCTCTCTCGTCTTGTCACGAAGGTTTGAGAAAAAATGAGTCTTTCGTCTCGTCTCGAGATCCTTAATTAAAATGTAATAATAAACATAATACCCAAGGTTCTGGAAAATATTGAAAATTGATGTGGATACTTACGTACTTATGACGTCACTGGAATAATCAAGCCTACCTATTTCAATTACATGAAAATAATTTCAATAACATCGACGGTTTTGTTTCTGTGATAAAAAAAATCTAAAATTCGAATAAAGCTCTGTTTTTCAGGAAGGCATTTCCGATTTCTGGAGAGATCAAGCGGTTTACAGAAGTGTCAACGAACTTAAAATCTAATATCGAAATTATCAAATGTGTTCCAGAAATGCGGCCAAAAATGTTTAGAAACTTTATATAAAGCCACTAAGAACATTTAAACTCGCCTATTCTTCTTAAACTAAAACTTAATTATGAACTTGACAGAATAAATTGGGACATAGTAGGACTGGCAGAAGTCAGAAGAAGAGGAGAAGAATGTCCAAGACTAAAATCTCAAATCAAATCACGTCCTATTCTACAAAGGTGATGATAATAGCAGTAATGAAGGCGTTGGAATCCTGATACACAAACGAATGGTCCCATAGACCTACAAATACTCAATAGCAAATCTGACAGCGTTATATATAACATTGAAAATCAACAAAACTACAATCAAAGTCATCCACAAGTGACTACGAGGACCAAAAGGTAGAGGAACTTTATGAAGATAAGAGTTAACACAGTGTCTGCACGAGAACAAAACAAAGTACACACTAGTCATGGATGGGAGATCTAAATGCAAAAATAGGCCAAGATGACACCGACTCATGTTAGAAATGAGAAATGAGGTAGCCAACTTGCTTATCAACTTTTTAGAAAGAGAGCAATTCTTTGCTGTGAACACATTCTTCAAAAAAAGACTTAACAAAAAATGGACATGCGCAAGCCTAGACGAAAATACAAAAAACGGAATAGACTTTATACTGACACATCAAAAACATATAATCCAAGATGTCGGCGTCTTAGGCTCATTCACGACTGGCAGCGATCATAGAATGGTAAGATGTAAAATAGCCATAAATAGCAGACTAGAAAGAGCAAAGAAATTCAACCGCCCGCCCCCAAAAGAAGTTAAGCACACTTACCCATACCAGTAAAGCACAAAAAACTGAATTCGCAAACTAAATAACACAAAACTGGAGACCCTATAAAACCGAAGAGTAGAAAAATTTAGCAAAGAAACCAAACAAATGCTGGAGAGAAGAAGAGAATAGAGAACTCATAATCAAGGAAAAAAAGATACACCAGAATACAGAGAGATCAACAAAATAGCCAGAAGGATGACATTACCTAACAACTACCAAGAAGTACAAATCAAAAAACTGATGGAAAAACAAAAATGCATAAACGTTTTCAAAAGAGAGAATGCATACAAAATAGAAACTACAAAGCTGATGGATAAGCAAGGAAACATAGAAGACAGAGATGGAATATTGCGTGTGGCAGGAAATTTCTATATAAACTATACGACCTTTTTGCGTCGTATAGTTCCTTATAGAATAATGAAAATAACAAACAAAGAAACCGAAAGCGAAAATTTTAAATGTTGGGTCCAGAAGAGATCCCTGATATAGAAGAGGAAAGAATTGCAGAAGCGCTAAGCCAATTAAACAACGGAAAAACCCCAGGAATGGAGGTGGGAGAATACTTTGTAAAACAACTGAAAACACTTTTCAATAAATGTCTATCAGAGGGGAAAATACCATACGACTACGACTGGAAGACTGCCATCGTCGTTTTGATATACAAAAAAGGAGACCCATCAAATCTTGAAAGCTATAGATCCATAAGCCTCCTGTCTCAAATATACAAACTGTTTATGAGAATTGTCACCAACCGCCTAGAAAGGAAATTCGATGAATACCAGCCTAAAGAACAAGCAGGCTATGAAAGAGCTACACCACTATAGAACATCTTCACACAATAAGAATACTGAATGAAAAGACGACTAAATATAACATTACAACATGGCTAGCGTTTATCAATTCTAGGAATGCATTCGACACTGTCGAATTCTGGGCGATCAGCGATAAATAAACATAATCAAAAATATTCAAGAAGCAACAAAAGTAAAATTTAGAATGCATGAAGATACAAACGAAGTGAAGATGCAAAAGAGGCGTAAGACAAGGTGATATAATATCACCCAAGCTGTTCACCTTAGTCCTCGAAGATTTGTTCAAGGAACTACATTGGGAAAATAAAGGATCAATATATCTGGAGAAAACATCAATAATTTAAGATTTGCTGATGACATCGTAATATTCGCCCTGAAAGAAACAGACTTAAAAATCATGCTGAAAGAATTACTCCAAGAAGATTGGATTAGGAATGAAAGTATCAAAAAAAGTTTTTGACAAATGCACAATCAGATAGGGACAAAATATCTATAGAAAACCAACACAACAGGTGAAAAAAGTAAACTCCTAAATTCCTGTCCTAGGTCTAGGAGTCGAAGACACAGAGAATATGTACCCTCAAATGGAACTGGGCCGGCCACGTAGCAAGAAACACAAGAAACAACTGGAGCGGAAAAGTAACAAGATGGAGATCCTGGCGGGAATGAAGAAGTGACAGGTACGACATCAAGTGAACAGCAGGACTGAACTGGAACCAACGTACCAGGTCGCACAGAATATAAATACCTGGTAAAATTTGAGAGAGGTCTATATAGAGAGGATAGAGAACGGCTTGGAAGAAGGAGGAAGGAGAAGAATCTGATCAAATCTTTGTTTGGTACATTTCAAACAGCGGTGACAACAAATTGAAAAACGTGAGTGTCTGAACATTGTTCGTTTTATAAAGGTTGTTATTCTTTAGGTAGGTATATGTTTCTACTGTCTCGTTTTTTCTCACCGCTGTATGACGTAACTACAAATTGGTATAATTCCGACTAAAATTTCAAAATCATTGGTAAACCAGTGAAAGTATCAGCTGGAATAGTCACAAAAATTGAACTTAGAGCTTAATAAAAAATAGTAAATATTTTATTAAAATCAGAATCAATTGAGAATATTCGTTAAGTTTGGTATTATCTGGCTATACCATAATTATCTATAATTGACTAGATAGATTAGGAACTGCTTTTTCCAATTGGGTTTTTGAAGTAATGCAAGAAATATATCTTAATTACTAAGATAGGTACTATGAAAAACTGATTACCTGTATGTGGTAAATGTGATGCACAATGTGGAGGTACCATGGCAGGTGGTATGTGGTATTGAACCACCTGCATTACCGGGTACCCATGCATTTTCCCCTTTTTTTTTGTCAATTTCCTCCTAAGTACTTTTCGCTATTCACACACCGAAGCACACAAAAAAAAAGTTACTTTATTTTTATTACCTAACGGAATCTATCACTTTACTTCCCTTGTAATTATGTTCAAGAAATTAATTAGAAGTAGAAGAATAAATAGTCGATAGTTAGTAGTTATCAACTAGTGGCAACTAGCAATAATTAATTAATGATAGAGGATAAATGTAAATTTTCTGCAAACAAGATTATTGTTTTTTACACACTGGTTTCAAAGATACCTTATTAATTCAAATTTATGTGTTGACAATTATAAAAAATAGATTAAGTAGGTATATCTACTTGAGAGCAGAAACATATACTTGATATAATACAAAAAAATATATGCATACAATTTACCGGGAGTAAATTATTTTATCAATACATTTACATAATAGTAGGTAGGTACATAAAAAACATTGGCATCCAGAAGTAAGTAAATGAAGAAAGATTGATAGCCATTTCTAATTTTTTTAATTGTTGGAAAAAATAAATTGCTAAGCATTTTTTTTTGGATCGCTATAGCAAATATGTAATGTCAATCATTGCTAAACACAAATTAAATTAGAAACACATTTTATTCCGGAACACAACAGACAACCTCGCTGTAGGTAAGTTTTCGCGGCACTGTCTTGAATTTTCATGATCCGACATGGAGAACTTTCCATCATTAGAAAATATGGATTTTCAATATTTACATAAATGGATAGGCGATTGACGAAATGGCTCTTAAATGCATGAGACAGACGAACGGACGCGATGGAATGAAAAAAATAACTACGCGAAAAGTGGTTTTTCTGATGCTGGAAATTGCATGTCTGAATTTTCATTGTCTGGGGGGCGGGAAATTGAACAGGGGTGGATTCGAGGTTATTTGTGGCAATGGAAATTTTCAAAGGGATCTGAACAGGTGAACAAGGTTTTATTTGAATAACATTAGTCGGTAATGATGAGTGAATGAATGAAAAAAGTTTTAACTATTAGTTGCTTTACTTACATATATACCTATAAGAAAGTGCACAACATCAAAATAGAAAACGAAGTCTCGCATCATATATTAGGCATGTCTGCAAAAAGCTGGCGTTAGGTAATATTGCAGTTGCGATAACAGTACTACCTACACAAGTTATTTTGGAGGATTGATCTTACTCTGCACTAATTGAATCACGACTTCGCCGAGGTATCGAACCGGGCCTGAGATTAGACTTTGCTGAGATGTTTATGTAGGCATTGTCTAGAGATCGTGTTAGAAAAATAAGGGTCGAAACGTTCGGAAATTCAATGAAAAGATTTTTTCCAATCTCTGTCCCTTAACCCACGAACCAGTTTTCAGCATTCCATAAGGCACACAATGATTAAAGTTACATAAGTAGAGTAACTGTTATAAGCTCATAAAACATTATGTGTTACGTATCTTATCTGTTACTGTTACTGAGGAACCGAAATATTTGGTGCATAATTATAGATACAGAGGGTGTCCACCTATAAGGTACCTATCACATTTTTACGAGAAAAGATGTTAAGATGGGGTTTACACTGATGATTTGCTTCGGTTTTGCTTACGTTGTTGCTAAGCCTAATTTTTTTTCTGAAACAATCACCATTCCCAAATGCAGCGTATTTCATACCTATAGAATACCCTGAAACCTGATCCTTCTTCTTTAAGACCATCTACAATTTGTTACTGTTTTCCAAAATATCTACAATATATCATTAATATCCCCTCAATTGTATGTTAGCTAAATGTAATGAGTTATTTCTCGAGATGTTAATTTAGATTATTTTATAATACCAGACATGAAAAAGTTCAAACGTTAAGTAGTACTTAACAGTGCCATCTTGTATGTTGTTTTTATTGGTGGAGTGTTTAGTTTGTGAGTACCATCTTTGTCTCTTACTTGTAAGTTGTAATTATCATTATGGTGTTTGCATGCGTGTATTAATAGATAAATAAATAATTATTGTTTCCAGTAAAAGTGTAATGACAAATCATAGTCATTAATGATGTTCAATGTTTTAATATACAAGCGATAAAATATGGAAATGTTGTTTTGATTTTCGTGTGCCTTTAAAACCTTTATGAAATGTCACATTTTTTTTGACTCTACAAGTTAAAAATTCCTAGTTGTTCGTACTTTTTACCTACATTCTGTTCCCAAATCCACTCCTGTTCCAAACCTTGTCTCTATAGCGACGCATGGCGACTTTTCACTCTAATAGTCAATATTTTCGCCCTCTCTTGCTCTTTCTTGCTTCCTATTGCCCTATAAAAAGCGAGCCGGACGTATTTAGCAACAAATTTCATCCCTAACTCTGGTAATGAAGAGGGGTAGAACTAGTAGCGATGCAGAGTGAATAAGGCGATTTTCATAAGCATTCTATTATAATTCGGATTTCCTGGGGCTCATGGGCTTACAATTTTATTCGTAGTTGGATAAAAATGGCAAAAATAGAGCGGGAGAAATGGAGGAAAAATTTGGCTATTAATTATAAAAGGGTTTCAGAAATTAATTGATTGCTGCATAATGAAAATATCTAGAATATTAAAAATGGGCAATGGCCAAGCCTATTGGTATTAATTTGTCAATAGCTTTAGAAGCTTTTTTTTGCGAGCATTCTAGACAAACTCTAAAGTTATCCAACATTTAAAAGAAGATTAGAACGATTTTACCTAACTTACACTAACAATTTATAGTTTAACTAACTACAACTTACAAACTATGCATAGGTACTAAATAGAAAACCATTCAATCTATAAATCTCTGAAATGCACATACATTCTTGTTGATTTGAGTCGCACAATGGAACGAATTGATGAATACAGCTTTTTAATATTTCTCTAACTTTTTGAAATAATATTTCTGTCTCTCAGTCACTGTTCAGAGTCCAGATTAAATTTTTCAAACCATATAGTATGTAGTATGTTTATGTTAATATCACTGTCAGGGTTTCCGGGATCACTAACTCACTTCACAAACAGTAACCACTCTTATTGAACAAATTTACTTAGGTACCTATCACTTATTGAAGTGCAACTCAAAAAATCTGGTATTTAAACTGACTGACAACAACACTTTGTAACGAAGTTTCTTTTCTTTTGTTTTAAAAGGTACCGCGAGTTTAAAGCCCGATTTATAGATTGACGCAACGTAACGCAACCGGCGTAAAAAGTTAAACGTACACATTTAAGTGAAGCAATTTATACTTTAACGCAACCGTATCTCCGTAACGTAACGCAAAAGTTGGCCAACTTTCAACTTTTTACGTTGCGTTCTTGCGTTTGACCAATAAAAACTCAACAATACTCAACATACCCAAACATTTCAAAAATAATAAAATGAAAATAGTGCCGGGATGCTGGGCAAGCCTAAACTGGGACCATTAAGGCCTTCAGTATCAAAAAAGGCAACGTAAATAAATATTGTAAATATAACAATTAATCACTGATTTTTAACAATTTACGACGCATGTACCAAACGTAAAGTAATAAATGTAGGTATAAATTGTAATTTTTAAAATGCTTTTGTTTTGCTGCGTTACGGTTGCGTTACGGTTACGTTACGAAATCAATAGAGAGATTTTGAGCCACATAAATTTTGAAATACGTTACACGCTAAACGATAAACTGAGCATGCGCAATCTTTGAAAAATAGCGGATTACATTTAGCCTTTTTGAAGCCAAAACTTGTGAAGGACGTTATACGCTAAACGTTAATGAAAATTTGTGGTTAGGAATTTGAATTTGTGTAACTAGCGTCAAATTTTATGTTGTCTGTTGTTTATGTTAGGATGGTTGGGTATTTATTTGTGTTTTGTTTTGTGTAATTATGTACTGCACTTCATGAATAACATTGAAAATAGAATAAGACGTCGAAATGCTGAAACGTTATCGGTTAATAACGTTCCGTTTATTTCCACATAATTAGCGTAGTACGTTACCGCTTATTAAGCGGACCGGTTATTTTTTCACTATTGCGCATGAGCAAAATAACCGATTGTATAATATGGTATTATTATAATATTGTTAATTGTGTTTCATCTACCTATTTGTATGAACATTTGTAGTTAGTAACTATTATTATTATCAATGTGTTTGTGATTAGACATCCTTGGTGACATGAACAAGTAGTTGTCAATTGTTATAATAGATATAATTATATGTACAGAATTTTGTAATAGATCTACTTAATAGAGGATCATAATAGAACGTCGTAAAGCTGCTTTATTTTATAACTAAGTGCTTGACAAAGTTATACACCGATAACGTATAACGTTGATCAAATAGGTGGCTCAAAATCTCTCTTATAAATCCTTCATTAGCCGCTATCGGTGTCCAAGACCGACGGAGTACATATTCTGTATTATAAGTCGTTCAAGGCCATGTTTGGCCTTCCCCCTTCAGCTACCTTCCTATATTCCCTGGATAAATATTAGTACAAATCGTGATTTTGTGAGTGCAGTTATTTTAGGGCTGATTTCTGATTCTGAGACCGAAGCGACTAAACTTGATTTGTTTTTCAACAATCACAGGAGTGAAAAAAGAAGCTTATAACACACATGTTGCAGACAAAATAATTTCTACTACCGACAATATAAAGCTATACAGTCAAACACTACACGCGTCATGACTGACAAACTTCGCAATAATTTCTTTCTCTTGCGTTCCGTAGGTTTATAGGTAACCGACACTGGTTCAGGTAGGCATATCTTGAATATCTTGTACTTCAAAAAAATATACCATCACTTCACGCACTTGTGTTTGTTCTATACTCTATGTAAGAAATGTATTTGTAGAGTTTTTGTAATTTTTTTTTGAGTCAAGGAGGATTTCCCAGTTACCTTTTGTCAATAAACTTGAAATGAACCAATTTCTTGTCTTGGCTTGGGTTGTTTTATTGCCAAATATTATTAAAATAAGACTTCAAAATAGATAGGTACATTAATAATTTATAGGTCTATTTCTTGAATCATATTTTTGTTGTCACAGACCGAAGCGACTGAACTTTCCTTAAAATTCGTAGCGACTAATGAAGGGTTAAGTGCATATTTTTGTGTTATTACCAAATTTGGTGACTGATTTTAACACGCAGCTTTACAGGAAATTTTCAGGGTTTTATATTGAAGATGTAGTAAGGGGAACAACATCGTCTGATGTGACCCCTAGGTTACCGTTTCTCCACTGTAACAAGCTACCTGGTGCACGTAGGCCCTCAACCACTTTAATCCTGAAGGTGGCGCCTGAGATATTTTTAGGATAAGATACTGATTACCGAACTATGTCGATTCCGTACAAAAAGCGCTTTACAAATTTGGCGCCCGAGCAGGGACAAACGCAATTCAATGACGTCAGCATAAGACCGAGGCGATTTTGTCATCTTCAGTCCTCAATTTCTTCGAGAGGGCGTTTGTTTTGACGACCACCGTAGGTCTGCCCGAGCAGGGACCGTTTTGACCATTTTGCGTATGTCAACGATGTCAGCATATGACCGATTGATTACGTCCTCAGTCCCTGTTTCCACCGAGAGGTCGTTTTTTGTGGCGACGCCCGTAGGTCTGACCGTTACCGTACCGTTTTCTATGTGATTGCCAGACTGCATAGCGCCGGAATGAATGAACCGCTCTTATTGGACCGTTCGGCGCATGCGTTTTCATCCGTCCCATAAGTTGGAGGTCTTAACCAATGCTGTTCGTCCGTGCTATCCTGTTATATTTCGCACCGCATTGGACCGAGGGTCCCTATTTTTGGGAAGTATTGGTGGGCGCATGCGCGAGGTCTAAATCAAGGTAGCCGAATCTCAT